TGTGTGTCAATTACATTTTCAACATTACACAACAAAAATCTACAATAATGAATGTAACAAATGTATATAAACAGACAATTCAGATTACCATACAGAATACAAAACAACACATTAGCACAGGTGATTTGTAGACTCCAGCATTCATCTTCTTGCAGAAGACCTGTATATGGAACTAGAGGGGGGGAAAAAGACCCCACAAAGTCATGTAGATGAAAGAATGCATAGAGCTGTAGAATAGCCTAGAACCATTTTAACAAATTTCGTGCTAAAATGTATTCAACAATGGATGTGTGAGAGGGAGATATAGATGAGGAAGATATAGATATTTGGCCCAGTCGTTGTTTGTACAAAATATTTTATCCATTTGAGACAATCTGAACAGAAGTACCAGGATGAACTGATGGAGCATGTCTCAGCTGTAGCTATTTATAAAACTGTATTCTGAAGAGGAAATGTGCTGCAGCTGTTGAAAACCTTGCTCATACATTTGTGACAACGTTCAAATACCCACCTCTTTCCATTTAACAAACCATTCACACCTTAACATTCTAATGTCTTGGTTTAATGTGCATTGTGGTAAGGTAGCCCACACATTTTGAATAGACTGGTAATGCACCAGATGTCCAAAAAATGAAAATAGCAGGTTTCCCAACACTGCACATTACAATGCACACAGGAGACGTGGGCAGATTCGGGAGAGCGGTGTCGGCCCAGCTGGCCAAGGGACTGGTACGTTAAAGAATGCTAAGGATTTATGTGAGGGGAATTGGGTGCCTGCAGGGTGGGGGTTGTGTCACCATAGTGTCAGATCTGTTTGGCCGGCCTTGATCACTATTGGCTAGGAAGGTGGCTTCCCGGCCAATCGGCATCCGACCGACTAAACAGAATAGTCGGCTTCCTAGGCAATCAAGAAGCCTTCCTGGCTTCCTGATTGCCCGGAAAGACAGCTCTATGCTACCGAAGTATCGGTACTCTGTATCGACCACTACCGAAAATATAAGTATCGGTGCTCGATACCGAAAAACTGGTATCTGGGCAGAATACCTCTGATAAGTTGGATATTTGAACTTCCCTTTATTTTTATGCCCCGTGAGTTTATTTTGTAATTAACTGGGAGAGCTGCTGAAAACAACTACTTTGCCTGCATACTTCACCTTTTCTCCTTTTTAGGATATCCTATTGCACAGCTGATAAGCTACATGATAAAGTTTTTGCCTACATTGCTCAGAGCCAGCAGAATGAAACCTTGGAATGTCACGCATTTCTCTGTGCCAAACGGAAAATGGTAACCTTGATATCTTGTATGCGAATTAACGAGCCACTAAATATAATCTTGAATGTATGGCGCCTAGATTGTAACCTTCCCTGACACTATGCTTTTTGTCTAGTGCTTCATTGCCTTTCAGTTTTTATAGTTTTAGTTTTAGAAATTGTGCAAATGACTGCATTTTGATAAAATGAAATCCTCCTGATAGTGCCACTAATGAAAAATGGTGCGGTGGTTGTTTTTATATCTATATATCAATTCATGCTTGTACAGTGCACTATATGCATGCTTCTTAAGCAGTTCTTTTTTCTTGTTTTTAGGCCCAAGCTGTTACATTAACGGTAGCTCAAGCTTTTAAGGTGGCTTTTGAATTTTGGCAAGTATCCCGGGATAGTGAGTATAATGTTAATTTATTATAATGTGTTTATTGACTGAGCTCTTCCCTTAAGTTAATGTCTTAGAACTCCAGGCAAATGGGGGAGGAAAGAACTGAAGTTTGGTCAATGTATACATTGACTAAGAAGAAGCTAAACTTCTTTTAAGCTGCACATTGCTTTATTACCTGTAATTTCTAAAATGTTTGTCCTACCTGCACAACATCTGAAATTTCATGCATAATTGTCTGCTGGATGCTGCAGTGAAGTACAGTAAAGCTGGTCATTCTATTTTTCTCTTGTTCAGCCCTGCAAAATCCATAATTTTCCCCCTGTCCATGCTAAACAGAATCCCCTCTGTCAGGCTATATTGTTTGGATGCAGGTCCCGTTAGACTAGAATTTTTGAGCTGGCTCCTTCAGCAAAAGTCAATAAACAAATGCAATTGACCCCAATGCATTTTTTTATATGTTTAACTGCAAAGATGTACTCTGTAATTGTGTAAGTGGTACTGTTAGGGGAAAACATTGGACCCAGTAGGCTCAATTCACAAAGCTTTAACACCAGCCTAAGGCGCTCAAATTTGGAAATTAGTTGCATGGTTGACTTAAAAATGTTTTTTTGGGGGGGGAATAAGTATGTATTCTAGTGTTAACTATGTGAATTGAGCCTATTGTCTTATCAGTTTGTGTATTGGGAACACTTTGTATTCAGCTGAACATCTAATACTTTCAGTTGACCTTTTAACCATGCATACTGTGGGTTATGGCACTGGATACAGTTACTACCAAGCTTGATTACTGTTTCAGATAAAGAGAAGAGAGAAAAGTCTGGCTCTGATGGTGAAGGAGCAAGCAGCTCTCAGTCAGAAAGTTCATCCAGTTTCACCAGTGTTAAAGGAGGTGAGTTCAGAATTCTGTTATTGCAATGACTGAACAGACTTCACTTGCACGTACAAATGGCAGGTTCCGAATTAACAGGTGTATGGTGGGTTGTCTTGAAGGTGCATCCAGTCATTTAATGAACAGACTAAAAACAAGCTGTCATGAAGGGGTTAAATTAGTATTAAACTGTCACTCTCCTTTAATAATCCAGATTAAACAAATGTACATAAAAATATTTATTACAAAGTTTGCCCAGGGACTTGGTTATCATGTTTGCAAACATCTGACTCCAAATCTGTTCAGCTTCCCGTCCAGTACAAGGTCACAAGGGACAGTGCAGTCTGCAGCAGCTTGGAGAGGGGAAGAGCATGGAAGAAAGGCTGTACCTGTGTTTTGTGGAGACATGCACAGCTTACTATTGCACACAAGGGTGGCTCCATAGGACCTTTTTTAAGGGAAAGGAGCCACCCTAAAACAGATTATCAAGGCCAGTGCTCAAGAGACTGCAGGAAGATGAAACTTTTAAACATCAAGGAGCAGCATCTATTTTAGGTGATTTTTTTTTTTTTTCCCCATCTGCATTTGGGAACTGAAACAACAATTTGACTTTAATATTTCCTTAACCGCTTGCCGGCTGTTGTAACTAAATGGTTGGTCGGGAGCTTCTTTGATCTAACAGGCGTGTGGCAAAATGTTAACACAGTGATGCCGGCTATGGAGCTGACAGATTGCTTGTATGAGGTGTTGGATCAGTGCTACCCATTCCCAGCGCTGGTCCCGAGCTTCCGCTGTGCCGGGGGCAGGCCGGGACCAACACAGCAGCTCTGTGACAGGAGATCAGAGGGATATCTGTACACCATCTCCCTCCGAGCTCCTCTCCGGTGTCAGAATGCAGAAGTGAAGTATATTACATTTCCGCAGTCTGCCGTCTCTCCAGCTACAGAAGCTGGTGAAGCAGACCCCTAGGTGACAGGGGTCTTACAGACCCCCTGATTTTTCCATAAAGAGGACCTGTCGCATCCTCCTTTGCTATCACAGAGGGCTTCTTGGCCCCCTATGTGATCAAGTTCCCCAAAAACTTAAGTCACACATGAAAATAAAAAAAGTCCCCAGCCCCACATACACGCATACAAACATGCGTCGGGTGCGCATACATGCAAAAACGATGATTGCGCTCATTACGCCACACGTTGCATATAACTCCGAATGTCAGTGAGAGCAATAAGTCTAGGGCCATCAATCACTGATCACACTAAACTGATGAGCGGTAAAAGCTTTTGAAGCGTCGCCTATGGCCAATTTTTAGTATGGTATTTGATTGTGATTTCACAGGCGCACACAACTTTAATGGTCTACCTATGATTCCAATTACAGGTCTCTCATCTTTTTAAGTGGGAGAACTTGCACAATTGGTGGCTGACTAAATACTTTTTTGCCCCACTGTATATATATATATATATAATGTTTATTATTCTTGAGTCACATAACATGAAAACACACTCAGCACCTTGCTGTTTTTGATGCATATGTCTTCCGACAAGTTTCGGGGACACATTCATGTGCAGCAGGACTAAATATGAGGTTCTACCTGGAAATTTTTTATGTCCGCACAATGTACCCTCACCCCGAGTGCATGCAGTATAGGGATGTGCACATACGTTGGACTCGCCCTCCATCTATTGCTCTACCTATCAGGTTAGTGTGACGGCTGACTTCTCCCAGCTGTCAAATTTAAAAGGTTAAAATGTTTTCTGCAATTTCTTTCTCACCACCAATCCAGGCTTGACGAAGAGGCTGCGCCTCAAAACACGTAGCCGCCATCCACAGATCTCTCCGCTCAGATTGCTCTAAGTTCCCCTTCGCCACCACCACACAGTGACTGAACGGCATCAGATTGTGGACTCGCAGTGCCGCAGGATCGCTCTGTCTTCAGAGCTACCTGACACTCTGACGTCGTTTTTTTTTTTTTTCTGCCGCAACGGCTCAGCCTGGCCAGCTCAGTCCGTGCAGATGACAGTACTTGCTCTCACCATCAGCTAAGGTCCACCCAGGCACCTACCCTTTTCCACGTCATCTGGCTCAGCCAGGCCACGTTTAAAAGGGGACATCAGTGGATTTCCCCCTGAGACATTGTAACATCTCAAATGTGAGTCTTTACCACACTTACAGTAGTAGCGCTCTTGATTTATTCTGTTTCATGTTGTGTCAAATATGAGGATGAAGAAATGTTTTTAACATAAGGGGAGAAGTGTTTTGTTAAAAAAAAAAAAACACCAGTGGTGATTATATACCACCGACACTATCTGTCTCTAAAAAATGGTAAAACATTATTTCAGTACAGTATTGCATGATGGAAAGTACTGCAGCGCTGAGCACTGAAAAATGGCCCGGCCTGGAAGGGTGTGTAAACGCCTGGGTCTTCAAGTGGCTAAACCTCTGTTTGTATTGGTCTGTGACTACTTCCTTACTCTTATGCTGTGAAAGGGAAGTGAGGTAATTGTCCTCAGTGGGTTTAGAGAGCAATGAAAATTTTATGAAATGGACTTTTTGGATTGACAAAACTTTTTTGGCTGAAGTTCTGTAATATTTATAAGATTGCTCCCACTGTAGCTGAATACACATTTTTGTGTAACTGGTTTTTGTTTCTGTGATCTCTTTATAGCTACAGGTAATCTCTTAGAAATAGATGAAACTACCAAAGCTTTAAGCATTTTAAATGCCAGAGACGATCACTTTGAGGGTTTGTTTCAACAAGATGCTGCCAATGAAAACAACAACATAGTATGGGTAAGTTGAACAAGCTTGTATGTTTTCACACACTTGTTTAGGTTGCTCTAAAACAGAGGCCAAATCTAGGGTTGATGACGTATCATATTGAGAATTAACAGTCCTTCAGCTTGTTCTAGTACAGTGATGGCGATCCTATGGCACGCATGCCAGAGAGGACACGCGAGCCTAGTTGCCAGGGCCCGCACACTCCAGGCTCTCATTTCGGGGGCTCCGGTGTTCCTTTTAATACCACTTAGTCTTTAAATGTTTGCCATCTTTTAACCTGGCAGGTGCCCACGTCCTATTTAATATATTGCCGGTTTGGCAATATATTAAATGAAAATCCCGTGGAAGATCGGTATGATCTACATCTCATGCTGGTGCAGACCATACTAATCCAAGTACAGCACCTTGAGGGAGCGATCCTTATGGTCTGCATCAGCCAGAGATGCAGATCACACTGATCCTACACTGGAAAACTAGGATTATTCTAGAGTGACCCACTGGAACCCAGGGATGCAGCCCCCCCCCCCTACAAAACAGGCATGTGGGGGAGGGGGGAATTTTTTATTGTTACTGTTAATAGTTTTGAGTTGATATAATTGTGTTATGTATAAATGTTTGCATGTGTTTTCCCTATTTTGCAGTGATGCTGAATGTGTGGTGTTTGTTTTCCAAACCCCAGTGCCCGAACTACAACATGTTGACACTTTGGGATTGCTTTTGCGTTGCAGTTCAGGCACTCTGACAACTAATTTTTTGAACCAATGGTCTAGTAGTGTCACTGATTCTGTCGTACGATCAGACCGCATAGCAGTGTTACCCGATTATAATCAAAGTAATGATTTCAGAAGGCCACAGGGAGCCTGCTTGTCACTTGCACAGAAATTTCACTCTTTACCACCCCCAGCATTGAGCTATAGGATTGCCCCTTTTTGCTTTCATTACCAGCAGTCCTTTGTGAAGGGAAAATGTTGCTTATGTCTAACTGTTTGCGCAGTATAAAATGAGCCAATCAATACTCCCTGCCACTGTTGCATGTGCATTATAACAGACCACATTCTTAAGGTCCCCACACACCTTACGATAATCGCAGGAAATCCTGCGATCGTACGATTACTATGTGTGCCCAGTTATTTACAAACACTGGAGTGATCAGCTTCTCCTCTGGATCTCCGCTGCTCTCCTGGGTAGAGGGGGATCCGAGGAGAAAGAAGCACTTCAGCCGTGCGCGTGGGGGCCGGAGCCGCTGTCAGCAGCATGTGCAGTGAGGAGAGAGCTGCCGACTGTCAGATCCAGGCCGAGCGTCACTCACTCCGATCGACCTAATGGGCACCCCTGATCTAAGGTCATACTTCCTGCCACCACTGTTGCGCCACAAATCCTACAAACTTGTATAATTATACAGGGAGACATACTCTAAAAATTGCCCCTTTTTTATAGTTCATGCATATAGAACAATAGCATTGACCTGGAAGTACGTACTTGCTTCACATCCATTTTCAGCACTCTGATCTCGTCTGAATATACTTTGGTGCCTGTAATGCATACAATGTGATCACATTCCTGGCTTTACACCATCTGCTTTACTTGCAGTTTTGAAAGTGTCCAGCAATACACAGCAAATCATCCAGTGAGGTGGTACCAGATCTAGCTGGTAGCACTGACTCATGTCATTTGTCATAGGCTTTATTAGAATGCTACTGTGATGCTGTATTTCCAGGTTTGGTATGATTTTAAAACCTGACCATCTGTACTTGGTGTTTGATATTTAATGTTGAAGGATGCACAGCACATGTGGCCAGGGATAGAGTAATATTATAATAGTGGCCTTATTCATTTTGCTAGACACTTTATTTATGCTTGGAACGGATTCTGTGACTTTTATTTATTTTTTTCCCCACCTGCCTCTCTTTAGGAACTTGATGATGGGCTAGATGAGGCTTTCTCAAGGTAATCGACTGTTGCTTTTGAGATCTATACCGCATTAATGAACTCTGGGCATGTGCAAAATTAACCAGTGTGTCTTTCCCCCTCTACTCTGCCTGTGGAATGTCCCTTGCCATCACATACCATGCAAGTGAACAGATGTGATTTCACAGGTCCTTAGGCCACCAGAGCCCTGGGGGAGAAGTTGTGGGGACTGGTCTAGCAACCAGACAGGAAGGAAGTTTTTCTCAAGGCACTCGCCTAGGGCGCATAGTACAGAATGTTAAATTAGCCACAGGCTACTATACAGGTCCAGGGGTGTGGTTCTGCTGCCTGGTTTTACCCTGTCCCTTAATACTTGGTGGGGGGCTCGCATTCCCATGGGGAGGGAAACAATCAGTCTTTTGCCTAAACATCTACCCCCTTCTGCTGGGAAACGGGGCTAATTCCACAGCTGCAGTAACTGAGCCTTTTGCCCTTTCTGGGAGACTAAGTGGCTGGTTTTTTTTTTTGCCACAGCTTGTTCAATTATTTGAGTTGGGTTTATGTATTAATTTAAAAGGACTAGTTGGCAATGCTCATGGTGTTTATGTAATGCCAGTAACTGTGTGTTCATTCTTGGCCTGTCATCTTTATCCTTCTTTCAGTACTTGATCTGTAGTCCTTGCCAGTCATGTTCATATTGGGTTTTTCCAACAACTAAGCTAATATGCCTGGCAGTGATACTGTGTGCCTTCAGTAGCTTGAGTCGTTGACTTGTAACAAGTATAGAGATGAGGAATTTTTGTTATATACTTGTTCTGTGAATGCCACTCGGAAGCCAGGCAGCATGCATGTTCATGAGGCTAGCAATGGCGGCACTCATATTGCTTTCATGGCTGATGTACTTTAGAAGACTTCAGAGTTGCCACTGTCATTTAGACCTCCAACAATACTTTTTGAAAAAGTAAAAAAAAAAAACTGTAGGTTTGACAAATGTATAACTTGACCTTTTTCCCCTCTTCACCGGCAGACTGGCAGAATCTCGGACTAATCCTCAGGTCCTTGATATTGGACTGACTGCAAATGATCTTCAAAGTGAAGACTGCTTGTCTCCTTGCAACTGGGACCGAATGGAGCTGAATCAAACAGATGGAGACGAGCTGTTCATGTTCTGACGTTCAAAAAAGAGCTGACAGATTTAAGTGCAATAGTCCCAACAAAAATAAAAGAAATTTAGCACACTTTACTGAATATGAATGCAGTCAAGAGGGACCCCTAAAACCAAAGCTTTAACATGTACTTTACATATTTATCACACAATAACAAGGAGAAAAGACCAAATTTACAATAACATGCCACCGCTTCCTCATTCTGGAGCAACTTCAGAACATTAATTTAAAAAGCAAAGCCTTTTTTGTTCGGGAATGTTCTTATCGAGTTTTTGTTACATAACGTTATCAGTATTTTTGTAATTTAGCTGTTTCATCATACCATGCTGGATTTATACCAAGGCTTACTCCAGTTTTCTTGTATTGGGGAAATATATGCATACTTTTGGTTTCATTGCATTTAGTCATAAGTGGCAGCAGCAAGGACAAAGATGTCTGGCCAATTTATAGCCCAGGTTCTGGAAATTGTTGCATGTAGTGGCCTTGACACTAGCTAAAGTCTTAATTTATTGATTCAATGCAACTATGTGCAAGACCTCAAATATAACACTTCAGTTGCTGCTACAGACTATATATTTTTTTTCAATCTTTATACATTTCATGTGATTTAACACTTACAGTATCGCACTTACCTTGGTTCTGCACTTATATTTTACTGAAAGGTTAAATTTGTTTTTTTAAGTGTTCCTGTTGTCATAGGCTAGTAAAAATTGAATGGCTTTTGTGGAAACGTCTTGAAAATAGTCATGGTTCCATGGAAGGAATGGAGAGACAATCAATCATGATTCCCAAACCAGTAAATACTACACTGTTGGGTTGATTTGCTAACCATACAAAGAATTGTCCTATTCAGTAACTCATAGCACCCACTCAGAGGTCTGTTAGCCAGTGTGTGCATGCGTAAACAGGGACGGGTGATTTCTTATTCGTTGTCACTGTACAAAGACTATATTGCTTAACTGATGGCTGTAGTGCCTGGCCCTGAAATGTTTGCATAACTGGAAGTACCTGCAAAACACTTGGGCTATTTCCTTAATGGTGGAGGGGTTTGAGCATATTTTTAACACTACACTGTCTTACAAATGCTCACATTTTTACACTTTAAAAAAAAAAAAAATGTTACGGTCAGGTACCCTTGGTGCTTTCCAGCATGGTGACTGGCTAGTATGCAATATGTTAGTTTACAAGGTGGAATTGCTTGTCTTATGTTTAAAACATATAATGCAAATTAATTTAAGGCTGGATTTCAACCTAAAATTTTTATTGTTTCTCCCCGATGTGTTCTATGCAAAATGCTTGTTGGCATGGTCATGTATTTAACATGCATTACAAAGCACCTTGTATTGTACGTCAACACACATTGCTGTGTGTCATGGTGCCTTTAAATTAACACTGATACATTTTGATATGCTTCCTTTGATGTAAATGGAAATGCATCGAGCAAATGCATAAAGGTTTGAATCCAGCCTAAATGCAGATGACTGAGTGTTTTGTCTTTTTATTTGTTAAAATTAGCAACTTGATAATTATATACAGTATTTTGAATGCTTTTTGTATGCTTTATTATATGTAATTTTATTAATGCCTATACTAGAAGACAATCATCTTGTTTGGTCTGCTCTGGGGGAGGGGAGAGAATATCTGGAAAATCAAAGTAAAAGGTTATATTTTATATAACTTCATAAAGCCAATTAAGCCCTTGATGATCATGTCCCTGCAAAAAGAATAAATAGGGGCTCTCGTCTGATGGGTAACCATCAGGGGTCATCCTGTAGAGCTGCCTATTCACTTTGTAGGCTTCGCATATCTAAAGGTTGTCATTGTTCATAGTATGCCAAATATGCGATTTTGCTCGGCCTCTGAATGCAGCCCATACCCCAACAACCACAGATGCAAATTATTGGTGTCCATGAAGCTACTGGCAGCTGACACTAGCATATAAATTAAATGTACAAAATCAATGACAAACCTTGTGTGCAGCCTTATGAGTACCCATGGTGATGTGCAATCATTTATCCAATTTCTTCAGCTATATATATCCCTTAATCAAAATATTGATGGTGAGCTAGGAAAGGCTTAATTGTAGCATTTGGGAAGCCTCACCCCCACTATTTTTAAGGTCATTGGTCTGTCTGCATTTCACTATTGCAGTATCTCGATCGAGATACATCAATATTACAGTGAAAATGTACATAAAAGCTGCAGTTCAGTCTTGTACAGACCTGTGTATAAATGACATTTGTTCTAAAAGTTGCATCCCAAATTATATTGGCAATAAAGTTGTAGTGATTGCTGCTGCAATGACTTGTATTTTCTAATTGAAATATTTTGTAGCCCTCTTCTGCTAGCCAACTTTTTAAATGGTTTGCTATTGTGGGTTTAGATACATAGCGCATTCCGTTTCTGTTCCATTTTGTTGTTATAGTTTGTCTTGAATGAATTCCGGAAGACCATATTTTCTGTTTATAAAGTGAATTTCTTTCATGGAATTTTCCAATTGCTGGTAGTCTTCGGGCACAGGTGGCAGCTCTGAATACATAAGTGTTTTCTTTTGCAAATAAATATTTCATATGCTAAGAACTGGGTAGGTGCTGAATAACTGGAGATATTGTGCAAAGACATCACTGTTGCTGTATATTGTATGATTTATTTCAAAATGTTAAAACCGCACATATTGCAAGGGTAGAACAAAATGTTTATAATTTGTCAAAATAGCACATCCACCCACAAAGTGCACCCTCTTCTTGGTAACTGACCTTTTATGTAGTACTTTAAAGCTAAACTCAAGGGCAATACGCTAAGGAATAACATGGTTGTATTGGAGTGGTTTTTAGCTTCCAAATTACTTTTTTTTTTTCTGTCCAAAGTTCAGTATGGAATCTACTTGCTGTCATTGCCCCTCCCTTCACCTGAGAGACTTTCTGGCATCAAGTGTGTGGATGTGCCTGCCTTTACACACACACATGAGCTTTAATGGCACCCCAGTCTGTCTGTAGGGGTTCAATATTGAGTTGGCCCACCCTTTGCAGCTATAACAGCTTCAACTCTTCTGGGAAGGCTGTCCAAGGTCTAGTAGTATGTCTATGGGAATATTTGACCATTCTTCCAGAAGTGCATTTGTGAGGACAGGTACTGCTTTTGGACAAGAAGGCCTGGCTCGCAGTCTCGGCTCTAATTCATCCCAAAGGTGTTCTATCGGGTTGAGGTTAGGACTCTGTGCAGGCCAGTCAAGTGCCTCCATCCCAAACGCTCTCATCCATGTCTTTATGGACCTTGCTTTGTGCGCTGGTGCTCAGTCATATTTGAACAGGAAGGGGCTGTCTCCAAACTGTTCCCACAAGTTCGGAGCCTGAAATTGTCCAAAATGTCTTGGTATGCTGATGCCTTCAGAGTTCCCTTCGCTGGAACAAAGGGGCCAAGCCCAACCCCTGAAAGACAACCTCACACAATGACCCCCTCCACCAAACTTTAAACTTGGCACAATGCAGTAAGGCAAGTACCGTTCTCCTGGAAACCGCCAAACCCAGACACGTCCATTGGATTGCCAGATAGAAGCGTGATTCATCACTCCAGAGCACACGTCTCCACTTCTAGAGTCCAGAGGCATCATGCTTTACACCACTGCATCTGACGCTTTGCATTGCACTTGGTGATGTAAGGATTGGATGCAGTTGATCGGCCATGGAAACCCATTCCATGAAGCGCTCTACGCACTGTTGTGCCAATCTGAAGGCCACATGAAGTTTAGAGGTCTGTAGCTGTTGGCAACTTCTGTGCGCTTCAGCATGCACTGACCACGCTTTATTGTTTTATTTGGCCTACCACTTCATGGCTGAGTTGCTGTTCCCATTTGCTTCCACTTAGTTGTATTATAACAGTTGGCTGTGGAATAGTTAGTACCAAGGCAATTTCACAGATGGACTTATTGCCCAGGTGCCAACCTATCACGGTACCATGCTTTAATTCACTGAGCTCCTGAGAACGACCCATTCTTTCACAAGTGTTTGTAGAAGCAGTCAGCATGCCTAGGTGCTTGATGTTCTACACCTGTGGCCATGGATGTGATTGGAACACCTGAATCCAATTATTTGGAGGGGTGTCCCAATACTTTTGGCAATATAGCGTGTAATCTTCTTTTTTTTTTTTTTTTTTTTTTTTTTTCCCCCCCTTTTACCCCCTGCTTTGTTTTTTTTTTTTACTCGCCATAAAATCCTTTT